GGCTCCACAACAAAGTTTTAAGCACTTCCTTCATATCCCCTTAGAAAAAACAAAACAAAACAAAACCAAAAAAACTCCCAAAACCCTACCACCAACCTCGACATCTTCTGTGAAGCCAAACAGCAGCTCTATAGCATTATGAACTTGTACCCAAATACTGATCTTAACAGTTATCATTACCTACTTTTCACTGCTTCAGTTATGTCAAAGGTATATCTACCTCACGGTGTGTTACCATGTCTGAATACAGTCAGACGATACATATTAAACAAGCTGCAGAATTTCAGTTTCAAATACTCCAAGAGGTTCCTGGCTGTAATATTTGGGAACTACAAATGAAGAGGCAAACACAGAGCTAATGCCTTCTGTTGTCAGTTGGAAAACACAACAGTCAGGCAGTTTAATTCTTTAAAAAGTACTGTTTTCAACTAATTCTAGTGTTGAGCATAATCTAGATCACATGGTTTCTTATTTCCACTCACCTTTTGTGAAATGAAAAGGTATGAGGTAAAGAGAACTGGGATAGAGCAAACATCAAGTCTACTCATGCCATCCACTACACGCTCTTCATTAATTCTAATGCTGACAAGCAGTTAATTAACTTCATGGGTTTCAGTATAAGTCAGGCTAATTTTAGCACTGACACCACAGGCAAAGTCCAGGTGGTCAGTACCAAGGAGTTTTGGTGTTTGGTAGTGTTTTTCTATTGAAAACCATTGAACTACTTCAAAGTGAAACAGATTGTTATTTCAAGCTTCTCATTAAATGGCCAAGACTTGTATTGGCTTCAGTCAACTTCATTTAGATCACGCTCAACCTTTTAAAAAATATTATAAATTCCTTTTTCCTTCAATAATTCCCATCCTGTGGAATAAAAACACCCACCGTATCTCAAGCATTTTTGTAATTCCATACCAGACACATATATTAGATTGATGACAAATAATAGATTTTCAGCACCAAATCTGTAATAAACCAAGTTTTTAGGATGGCAACATTGACAATCTGACATTTTTTAGGGAATACCATAATTCACTTTTTCCAAACAAAAACCTATTAAAGCTTCTTACCTGGACACAGTCTGCAAAGAAAGAAAAATAATTTAAGAGGTGTTTATTTGAAAACACAACTCCATGCTTGCCAACGCTGATACATGACTGTATAAAGAGCACACTCTATAGACACTGAAACAACCCAGTGCTGTAAGATCAGTTAGACCATTATCTGAATTTCTGAAGCCGTGATGGGCTGCTTGCTGTACAGAAATCAGCTTGCCACACAGTCTTACTGCCAAGAAGTGTTTTGCAACAAGGTAGTTTCCAGAAATAATACTGAGATTCCAGAAGAAATTCATCTGAGACATGAGTATTTTCTGAAATCCCCTAAACCACAACTTACAACCACAGTAAACAGTTGAGAAAGAAAAATACACAGGAGCAACGTGCTGTCTCAGCACTAGAGACAAAGCTTTAGAGAATAAGTTATTATTTTTAATTTCTATTTTCTGCCTTTACTAGCAAATAGCACATGTCCAGGGACGTAAGCAAAGACCAGACAAGCAGGCAGGGATTCTCTGCCAGTACTCTTTGTAACGTCCAGCAATTCATGGTTCAAAAGGATTTTCTAAGCCAGAGATGCTGCCGTTATATTTAGTAGCCTTTAATGGATTTACCTTTCAAGTACTGGCTCAGTTACTTTCAAGTCATGTGAAGTTTAACATTAATGAGAACTTTTTTTTGTTTCTTTGGGTGTTGTTTTTTTTTTTTTCTGTGTGAGGGGAAGGGGTTGTTAAAGAGGAGTGCCATAGCCTACCTGCACACCTGTGGAGACCACCTCATTTTGTATGCTTTGAGCCACCACCTGCAGATTCCATTTAATAACCTCTAGTTCTGGTATCAGGAGAGAGACTGAACAATCACACCCTATTCATCCTCTCCCTCTGCCACTTGTGATTTTACAGACTTTTATCATCCCCTCTCAACCATCTGCCTTTCAGAATATTTAGTTATCCTCATACAGGTGTTGCATGCTATTCATCATTCCTGTCGCCCTCCTCTAAAATCTTTCCCAATTTTACTACATTGGGTATGAGATGGAATAAACCAGAACCACACACAGTATTCAAGATGCACATACACCACAGATTTATAAACATCTATTATTTAATGGATTAACAATGCTTTATTTTCTTCTCTATTAGCTTTCTAGTAACTCCCAGTGTTCTGATTAAAATTTTAACCTCTCTTAAGCTGACATTTTTAAAGATCTATGAAAACCTCAAGATCTTACTTCCAAGTAGTAATAGCCATACTGGTGGTCCCCAGGAGTTATGTAAAATGACTGTTTTCTCCCATATCCATTACTTCACATTTCCTGCACTGAATCTACCATCTACCATTTTATCATGCAGCCACGCCAGGAGGTAAGGCCCTTCCATAATTCTTCAGTCAGTCATTTTTACTACTCTGAACAACATCTGAAAACTTTGCCATATTTCTATGTAGCCTTTTTTCCAAAGAGGTCACAAGTATACTGCAAAGCACAGGCCTAGGCACAGATCCTTGCAAGACTTCATTGGTTATTTCTTTTTGACATGAAATGTTATGATTTATTCCTGCTTCCTACTTCCTATCTTTTAATCAGTTATTTAACCATCTTTGAGCCCTTTCTCTTATCCTACAGCAGCTTGCTTTCTCTAACAGCCTGGGATGAAACCTTGTCAAAAGCCTTCCCTTTCTGAAGGTAATTTCCATATTGCTGCCAGTGCTGTATATGTAGCTCAGATTCCACTTTACAGACAGCTGAAAATGATTAAAACTTGACCCTTCTTGCTCTCTTGATTCTACTGTAATGCATTTCATTCAAATTTGACCTGCTACTCCCTTCCTTCACAGTGTTCATCCTCTCTCTTCTTCCCTATTGAGTGATATTATATACATTTAACAAAACTAAAACAAAATAAAATATTTTTTATATTATTTGTTTACAGAGCTTTCCAGCTTGAATAGGCTTACAACATAAAAGGAAAGAGTCACATCAAAATTGGTCTGAAATCTGTCCTGCATTTATTACATGTTAAAAATAAAATCAAATCCCATGTACTGTTATACAATTTCCTGTCACCTTCACACTGCAAGCCGTATACATTAAGAGACAATAAAGTTTCATTAGACCTTTATTGCTAATGTGAAGAAATTTTTAAAGACTTCTGCTCCATACTAAAGATATACTGCAGCTTTTTTTTTTCTTTTTGGGGGGGTGGGAAGAGGGGAGGGCAGGATGGGACACACACAACACAATTGAAGATTGAAAGCTCCACATATAAAGCTGCAGCCCAACTAAGAATTCTGAAATTCAGACAACTGAAACTACTGATTCGGAAATGTAATTTTTCTTACAGTATACAGGTGAATAGCTTGCACCTCATTACAGATTGAGACAATTTGAAATAGCACAAGTTCAAAATCTTAATGCAGAAAATCAGACCATGAGAATTTCCAGTGAAGAATTCATTCTGGAGCAGACAGGCAGCATTGTAACACAAACACAAACAATAGTACAGGTGATTTTTTCAGATTACTTCAATCCTATGAATTCTTCCAAACAAGCTCTTTAAGAAAGCCAGAAATAGAATTCAACTTTCATCTTTCCTGGATGTTTTAGCCTATAGCAGCCAGTCATGCTCTCAAAGCCTATTCACAGAAGCAGCTGTGTATACACAACAAATCACATTTGGACATGTTTCGATCCAAGAGTGGGTAAGGACAAGCAGAGGTGAGCAGCAGGCTGTCCCTCAACACTAATACCAATGGTTGCCATAGCAACAAGAGGAATCACAGGAAGAGGCTGGTATTGATCTTTCCATCCTGTGTTCTTGCCATTTCTTCAGAGCAGTCCACACACAATGCTACCACAACCAACACCAGCGCACAGACCCAGGTTCTGAAGTTAATGGGAAATAATAGCGATGAAAAGGCAACAGGGAATAATTACTGCTGGGTTACTCCAAGTACACAAAGAACAGGCAGCAGAATTTTAATCTTAAACACAAGCTATGCAAGGGGAAGGGGGGTGTCAGTACGTACAGGCATGTTTCACAATGCCTGCCATCTACAATTCAAGTTTTCTGTGCATTCTCCTGCAGGGCAGTATCTGCCTGGTCTCAGCATTTGTAACAAAAGAGTCACCAATGCCTAGGTCAGGCATCACAAAGAGCAAGATACAGCAAAGGATGTTTTGTGCTTAGTTGAAAGCCTGCTACATCATGTCAGCATACTGCAGAATGGCACAAAGCCAAAGGGATAGTAAAGAGAGACTACTTACAAATATTAAAGAGATTTTTCAGGTTAACAGTGGCATAGCTCCAGAGTCCTTCAAAATATACTAGAGCACAACTAAGTTCTATAAACATGGGATAATACGTTACGTGAGAATACAAGAGATTTCAGGAAAGACTAATATTGTTTCCAATAACAACACATAACTCAAAATTGCATTTAGTTTGCAAATTACAGAATGGTACTTTGATGATACTATCATAAGACTTAAATGAAAAATATATTTTGAAAGTTTCACCTTCATGATTAACATTTCTTCTTCAGATAGGCAAAATGGGAGAAAAAGTGTTTAAATATTAGAGTAAATTAAGAAAGCCTTCTAAGAGCATTCCCAACTATATCTATAAACATTGAAGAACGACCAGCATAATTAGTAGAATGTGGCCCTAGCTAAGAGCAGAAGGCTGCTTATATCAGAAGGATAAAATATAATTCTTGGAAATTAGTAGATCACTTCTGCTACATGCACCCTACATGGTCCCAGTTTCATATCAGCATAATAACACCTCTGTAATCCACTATATTTGCATTAAGCTGAAGTAATAAAGCAATAGTATGGGAAGTACCAACTATCTCCAGAAACTTCTTACTTCACAGAGTGATTAGCCCCTTAAAAAGAAAAATTAACTAGCATGGCCTTCAGAAAATGCATCATAGTTTTCCAAGGCAAATACAAAAGACAAATTAAAAGTGTCTATATTAGTACAGATATTCTTAAAGTTTTAACATTTATACTTAATAAAAATGCATCCTGAAAAAAATCTAAACAATACCTACCAATTGTGTACATCAAGAGAACAACTATACCATAATCTAAACAAACTATAAGAGTATGTGGTATTTAAGAGCTCTGGGAACCCTGTTAATAACAAGTCTCCCATCATAACTTAAAGAAGCAAATAGCCATGGGTCTGCTGAGGACCATTCAACTGCATACACGCTATCTTCATGTTCTTCGTAGGTAGCTATTACACTGTCCTGAAGGGGCTCTTTCATCCTAAAATTGAAGGGAAAAAAAAGTAGTAAGTATCTGTGAACACACTTGATTTAAAAGGCAATATTAAGTGTCACTAACATCTAGATACACAACCTCCCATTTAAAGTATAAGAATGCAGTAGCAGGCTCCAAGGAAATATTTTATACCAGATATCTGCATGTGCCTGTGTTTTAGATAACACAGCAGAGTCAAGCCAATGTTAAAGTCCCCATTTGCAGGGACAGAGTAACTCTTATTCTGAACTTCAGTGCATTTCCAGGTCTCTCAGAAGCTACATTAAGCATCTCCCTCTAAAGCAAGTTAAAACTACAGAGTACATATGATCTAAATGCACTTGAACACACATTTTTATCAACACCTTTTCTCTCACCATGCTCCATCCCTTCCTTTCCCTCTTTGCTGTTAATTAAATTCTTAACATTATATATAATCTTATTAGAGACATGTAGGTAGGTAAAAAGATGGAGCCCTTAACACCACAGTCTCTCCTGTGATGCCATCTCTCCATGTGCGCCCATTCTCTCCAGAGTAATGGAAGCGAGATGGAGGCACCACTCTGAACACTTTTTATTAAACAATTTTTATCTCCCATTCCTACAGTTATAACACCACTGGATTCTCATCTATTATTTTATACCTAACCTCTCACCGCAACACCCAAGATCCTGGTCACCTATATCATAAGAGTAAGACAGATGCTCTTTTGCATTGCAAATACATAAGAACAGATTCAGGCTATTCTCTGAAGTCCAAACCACGCAAGAGTCATTGATTGTGCTCTGCTAGCTGAGAACAGCCCTTCTTCCCTCCACCACAGAGCCAGTCCCTCCTCTCAGAGCAACACCACAGCACATTATACTGTAGCTACAGGGCAGGTGAGTTTTCAGAGGATGACCTTAGAGCTCCTTCACCCACAGAGGATCACCTCTGTCTGACAGGAATCAGTCAGCCTTTCAGAAGCATCCTCCTGCCTCCCAGAAACAGCCTTGGTATTACAGCCGCAACCCTCCTAAGAGAAAGCAAAGCCAAACTGCCTTGTGAATGCCGCTAAATCATTTAAACAGATGCTGCTACTACAGAAATGAAGTGTTGTTATTGGCCATCTTTGCCCTTTACTGCTCCTCTCTGAAAGCACACGTCTATGATCACAAAACATATACGGTATCACATCTGAATCGCTTGCAGGATATTGCTGCTCCACCTAACCAGCCTAACCAGCTGTGTATTCAACATCGCAATTAAAATTCAATTGAATTTAGTGATTAAACCAAGAGCAGTCTCATACTGCACAATATCTTCAGGTATTTAGTTTCAAGGACTTTTATAATTTACTTATGCTACATTTAAGGTCAACTAACAAAAACAGGTCCTAGCACAAACACCACACACCCCCTGGCTAATTGCAAAGAACAGGCTTGTTTTGCAGTTCTCCTGAATATGTACTTTGATGCAAACCATCTAACAGCAGAGAGCTAATAAACACACACACAGACACACTTCACCTCCTGCAATGTGTTCTTCTAACTCCCTGTTAACTGACATGCCTGGTTAAGTGAAAGTTGGTCATGTCCCCAGACAGCAATGTGCTTCACGCGGTGCTCACCCACTTACCCGCAACTCCATTATTCGGAAGGTTTCAGATGTCTCTCCGGATAAGCAGGGGAGTAATGCACAGTACACATGGCTGTCAGGGGACACGACCGACTTTCAGTTAACCAGGAGTCTCGGTTAACCAAAGGTTGGATAAACAAGGACAAATAAGTGTCTAGATTTTACTATTTTCTGTATGCTCAGAGCTGTTTCAATGTTTCATTTAAATAACACAGTTCATCTGATTTAATTTACAGAAGTCATAGGGGAATGAGCGTTCAGGAAGAAGCCTGTAGATGAATTTCAGTTTAGCATTTTCCATTTATAACTACAACTTTTAATTGTCTTTTATTATTGTCTATACTCTGAATTTCTTCTTGGGCATGAATGCAATTTTGTGCCTTCTCAGAAAAATAAAGCATGTTACTCTGTGTGGTTCTTCAGGCCACACAAGTTCAGTTTTCGGTGGGTTATTTTGTTTTAAATAGCACAGATCTATTATAACATTATGTGCATAAGAAGGGCATATTATATTATGTGCATAAGAAGTTTCCAAGAATCTGAGAAAATCTTTACGGAAGTGATCACTTGGTGTAAAAGATCTAGATACTATACAAGATAACTAGGGTGCAAAAAAGTAATCTCAGAATGACATGAGTCTCAGGAACAACACAGAAGATCCGAAAGAGACTGTCCATTATGAAAGAAAACAGATTAGCCTTTAAATTATGTAATTGATAATGAGCTCAGAAGGATTCTGCTAGGGGAATAAAGAGCAGAATTTATTTCATGTATGTGAAAGATTTTTCAAAATAATTAAAAACAGAAGGAACAAGGTTGTTTGTGCTGTTGATTTTTTTTTTTTCCCCTCACAACAGAAATCTTTGGAGACAGATCACTTTATAACACGCTAAGAGACTTCCAAGAAAGCACCTCAGATTTCTCTGCATTTTGGCTATGTACATGCTTTTTTTAGTAATCCAAGAACAGGCTGAGGATACTATTTTTGAATCTATATGAATCTAGGATACTTAGGATTGTTCAGTTTCCAAGTCCCACAAAGTATTTACTCTCAATGAAATTTTACACAGCTTTCACATATTTTTATTTATTTAAGAATCCGCTCAGACTCTAACTCACCAGATATTAAATATAATTTGGTTAATGCAAGAAGTTACAGACTTAACAACTATGACTGACATTTATTTAAGCAAAGTAACAAATACGTTAAACATATATAGAGACATATATAAACAGAGTATACGAAAAAATATTATTTTGGTCACAGCACATACTAGAGGAACACATAAAACAACTAATATTTATCTTAAGATGTTTTTGACTATTTAGAGATTTTAATTATCTTTCTGTTTTTATCAGTTGCTACAATTCTATTTCTCTTTAACAAAGAGTAGGTAATTTCAGAGCCTAACGTCATAGCACTGACAAGCGTATTTTTTCTAATACTCTATTCATAATGTAGCAACGATTAAAAGAATACTGCTATACTTTCATGGGTATTATTCTTATCTTAGAAACCTTCAATGTCATAGTTACAAACTCCTGATGACAATGCATCTAACCTAAGAATTAGGGCATAACACTGGACACAGAAGAGGAGAGAACTCAAAGTAGACAGGATACTGTGACAGTCAGCAGATCTTTGGTGAGTTTTGGAACAGGGAGGAGAGTTCAGGACCTCAAATTTCTTCTCAGTTAGAGAGGTTCAGAAATAGGAAGAGTACCTGTACAGAGATGGATATGCAGTAAGCTTTCTTCTGTGCCACTTTAATGCATATAATCCAGGTTGTTGCCAAAACACAGAGATTTCTGCTTTTACATAAAAGCCGTGGATTACAGGTATAAAAATGTCATTGCTATGCTACAGCTAGTTTACCGTACCACAGGTATAGGAGCTTGGCCTATTGGTTCCTTAATAGAGTAGCCTGACGAGACTGTATTTGATAAGCATACTTGGTAATCACTTGTTATGCCTGGACACCCTAGTAAGCTATTTTCTTCCTTGTCCTATATGTCCCTGCTCCTTAAAAGGTTCCTTGAATTTCTCATTTTCCTGTACTATTTTAAAGACTTTTTCTGGCCAGACTAAAACATCTTTTTCTCTCCTTATATATGTTCTTGTATTGCATCAACTGACAAGGCATCAAAGTCTTATGTCATTAAGAACTCATAGTAAGAAATGTGTAATCTCTACCTACATCCTGCATAAATTTAAGACCTGTGACATACAGAGCTGGAACTGGACTGCTTTCTCTTTGCAGTCTTATTCACGTGGCGTGACCCGTATCAGCTCCTCCTATGGAAGGAAACAAGCTTCCATTTTACTAGATAACTTTGAGGTTAATTGCGTTACACATTTGAGAGAGAAGACTGTTAAGCCTTGGATAATTGTTTTCACGTAGAGAGCTGTTATTTCCAATTACATCTCATGCTAACAACCACTTAAGTTTTCAGTGCTCGCAATTCTGTTTTGTTACCACAATGTTCAATAAAATATGTTTTTCAGAGTCATCAAAAATCATTAATTCCTTATCACAGTCAAAATTAAGTCCTCTTTAACCTAAAAATTACTATGAAATAGATGTGACTCAACAGAGCAGCAACATGTACTGAAGCGTCCAAAACAAACCCTGAAAAGCAAGCCACTGGATTTCAGAATAAGCTCCATGGATGCTCGTTCCCTTTAATGGCAGAAAATATAAAAACTGTAAGGTTTTGTTTCTGGTATGTTTAGACAACACACTACTTCCTTCTTCACTATCTAAGGATGTTTATACTGGAACACAATTTTTATACATAATAATCGGCTATTCATGCTATGGTAAGCATTATTTTTACTCAAAAACCAGTCTTCCGAACTGCTTCTAAAGGAAAATGCCATCTTTAAAAACAGGAAATGTGTATTTCAATAAAATGGGTTTCATTGTTGTCCTAATATGCAAAATAAATTAAGGAGGGTGTATCTGCTGATGAGGGTTAAAGAAAGAAAAAACACACATTTTTAAAGCAAAATAGTCTAGGAATTGGAAAGTGCTGCTGCTGCTGCTTAGATTGAGCCCAACTTCTTATACATCTAAACAAGTCAAATCCTGAATACTGGCATCCCCAAAGCAAAAATTATTTAAGCTGCTTTAATAAATTGAGTGTCTTGGCTGATTCCATAGCATAATCCTATGATTTCAAGATTTCTCAAAGACATAAATACCACAAGCAAAATATCATAAAAATTAACACTACTGGCAGCTGTGTGAAATTATCCTGAAAGCCTGCCTTATCAGGAATGTTCGGCAAATGCTTTTCAAAACATCACTGCTGACAATTAAGTCACGGATGTGTATACAAAAGTGTTACAATAGATCGTAGAGTTCATATGTGTAATGAAATCACA